AGGAAGAAGAGGGAAGAGAAGCTGCTTCTTGGGACTTTCCTGAGGAGCGGACCCCTGACCGGGCAGAGGCCGGAAGCTTCCGAAGCCTAAGGTGAGTGCCCACCTGATTGCTGTGGATTGAGGGCTCTGGCTGTCTTCACTCCCCTCATCCCCCACTCTGTCTCAGTAGGACTCTTACTGACTCTGATCGATTCCTCGTTCTCCCCGGACAAGACCCCTTTCTAGTCACCATTAAACACATGTCCTCTCTTCCTGGGTCTGCCTTTGGCCTTGCCTCTGCCCCAGCACCTCTGAACTTTGGGACCCAGACAGGTTCACTGGGCCTTTTTTATTTTGTTGTCTGTTTGCCCCTCACTAGAATATAAATTCTAGGAGGATGGGGACTTTAGTTTTGTTCATTGTCTGTGCCTAGTACCTAATACTGGGCTTGGCACATAATAGGCATCAGTAATTGCTAAATGAGTTGGGGTTTTTTTTTCCCCATTTCTCTTTCTCCCCTTCCTCCCCTCGGCCCCACCTCCTCTTCCCGGCTTCAGTCACTCTTTTTGCATGACAGCTCTTGCGGCCCTGCTCCTTTACCGTGGCTGTGGGTTCAGTCTCTCCTTTCTCCCTCTGCAGGTCGTGGCTGATCTCGGAGGGCTATGCCGCAGGCCCAGGAGACATCTCCCCTGACTGGTCCCCTGAGCGATGTCCCCTGACTCCACCACCACCCGAGCCAGCTGAGCTAACCAGCTCCGCCCTGGGTCCCACCTCACTGCGGACGCCCCGCACGCTGCGCACACCTGGCCGCAGCCCTGCTGCCGCCTCCGAGGAGCCTTGGGGCCGCGAGGGGCCAGCGCTGCTGCTCCTGTCTCGATTCTCCCAGGCTCCTGACCCAAGCGGGGCATTGGTGACCGGCCCGGCCCTGTGTGGCCTGCTGGCCTATGTGACGGGCTCGCCAGGCCCACCGAGCCCCCGCGCGCTGCGCATCCTGGCACGCCTTACCTGCAACCCTGCCTGTCTCGAGGCCTTCGTGCGCAGCTATGGTGCTGCACTGCTGCGCGCCTGGCTCGTGTTAGGCGTTGCCCCGGATGACTGGCCCTCACTGCGTGCCCGGCCGGCTCGGCGCCAGCACCGGGAGCTGGGTGTGTCTCCCATAAGAGGCCCCGTCCCCCTCTAGTTCTGGACCAAGAACCTCACCGTGCTGCTCACGGTTCTCACTGCCCTCTCCAGCCTACCGTCCAACTTCAGTCACCACGTGGGAGGAGGAGAGGGACTCCCAGGATGCCAAGTTCTGCCCCATCCTCTGCCCAAGTCTTTGGGCCTAGATACCCCAACACCAGGCTTGGCCCCAACAACTTAGAATCATGCTTGTCTGTATTTCTTTACCCAGTCTGCTCTTTCTTTACCCAGTTCTGCATTGTCCTGACTGCCTTCCCACTGGGCACACTGACTTGGAAACCCACGGCTCAGGCCCCATGTCTTCCCAGGCCCCCCCACTACTCCCAACACGGCCAGGAACTGCCCTATCTTCTGTGTTCTGACTGCACTCCCTGACCATCACACTTTGTTATTGTCCTTGACCTCCCATTTCCTAGCATCTGGACCCTTTCCCTCTAGGGCCTGTAGTCATCCCCTCTTCCGTGCCCTGAGGTTTTTGCTTCCTTTCAGGGACCCAGAGTTGGGACATCAACTCCCAACCTGACCTGCTGTGTCCGTCTCTGCAGGTGAGATGTTGCTGCAGAACCTGACCGTGCAGGCTGAATCACCCTTTGGCGTGGGCGCCCTCACTCACCTGCTGCTCTCTGGAAGCCCTGAGGACCGTGTGGCCTGTGCACTGACCCTGCCCTTCATCTGTCGGTGAGGGGGATGTGGGTGTCTCACAGGGGTCAGGGGGGCAAGGTTGCTATTCCGCAGTGTCATCCTTTTTCACTTTTCTTCCCAAAGGAAGCCCTCTCTGTGGCGCCGGCTACTTCTGGACCAGGGCGGCCTCCGTCTCCTCCTCTCAGCACTAACTCGGCCAGCTCCACATCCACTCTTCCTCTTCTTTGCTGCCGACTCCCTTTCCTGCCTCCAAGGCCTGGTGTCTCCCACTGTGATCCCAGTCCTTCCACCTCCAATCCCCTTGGACCTAGATTCCCCATCCCCTTGCCTCTATGAACGTCTGCTGGGCCCAGCCCCCATCCCAGCCCCTGACCTGCACTTCCTACTGGACTCAGGCCTACGGCTCCCTGCCCAGCGAGCTGCCTCAGCTACTGCCTCGCCTTTCTTCCGGGCTCTGCTAGCTGGCAGCTTTGCCGAAGCCCAGATGGACCTGGTGCCACTTCGAGGCCTGTCACCCAGCGCAGCCTGGCCTATCCTGCATCACTTGCATGGCTGCCGGGGCTGTGGGGCTGCCCTGAGGCCCATTCCCCCACCAGGCCAGCCCCTGCTGGGCTCAGAGGCTGAGGAGGCACTGGAGGCCGCTGGCCGTTTCTTGCTGCCTGGGCTGGAGGAGGAGCTAGAAGAGGCTGTGGGCCATATCCACCTGGGACCCCATGGTGGCCCAGAGTCAGTGAGTGAGGTATTCCGCCTGGGCCGGCCCCGGTTGGTTGCTCATTGTGCCCGCTGGACCCTGGGGCCAGGGCAGTGCCCGCGGAAACGGGCCTTGGCCTTAGTGGGGCTTGTGGAGGCAGCAGGAGAGGAGGCAGGGCCCCTGACTGAGGCTTTACTGGCTGTGGTCATGGGGGTTGAATTGGGGGCCAAGGGTTCCAGCTTAGACTGTTGATGTTCCCTGGGAGGGGATCCAAGGATGAGTTGGCTGTGACGGAGGACTCCCTCAGAGCAGCATGAGAGGAGGCTGAGCAGAAGTCACCATCAAGGATTGATGAGAGAATGGAACTATACCCCAAGGTGATGGTCTGAAGATGCAGGAGTGAGAAGCCAAGGCCGCGGTTGTAGTATGGAGCCCTCAGATGGAGAACAGCCCAGGGCCCCAGGCAACCTGGCCTGGCCCAGCCTTCCAGAGCTGAGATTAAAAACTTTGGAGTTGGATACTCCTATTGTGTGGTGTCTCTGCTTACTTTCCTGTGGGACTCCCCCCCCCCCCCCCCCAATCAACCAGCGTCTTGTTCAGGTTGCTGTATCTCAATATAGGCCACCCCTGGCATGTAGCAGTTTACTAAGTAAGTTCCTGGAGTCCTGGGGTAGAATAGAGTACTGGGAGGAGCCTGCTTCCTGCTCATGCAACTTCATTGCTCAGACAAATACCCAGCTAGACATACAGACTTTGGTCAGGGATGAAGGGGCTGGGCTGAGGGAATGCAGTAAGTGTGGGGCTGTATGTCCAAGGCCTTGGCATTACTGTTTCCTGAGTGTCTTTCACTCATCTTGGGCTTTCAGTCTCTGGGTCTGTTTTCATCTCTTGGGCCACTTATGTATCCTTCTGCTATTAGCCTGAGGGAAGCCCTGCTGTGTTCCTGGAGTCCCTGAGGCAGGCCCTGTTTTAGTTTTGCTCAGAGATAGCCAGAGCCCCGGGGTGCATTCAGGTGAGGGAAGGGCTTATGTTGCGCTATGATCTCTCAAGGCAGGGTCTATCACCTGGATCCCAGATCACTAACCACTCGGGTGGCAGCCTGACTGAGGAGCGTGCCTGGACTGGGCCTGCCTGTTAGCCTCCGGGGAGCTAAGGTTGACACTTGCTATCTGTGCCTCTGTGTCCAGTTCTGTGTTCTCAGGCTTTGCATTAGAACCACCCAGAGAGCTTTTAAAAATGTTGATGTCTAGGTACTTTCTCACTGAATTGGCTGAGGGGAGGATGCCCTGGGCGTCAGTATTTTTAAAAAGCTCTCCAGGTCAGTTTAATTTGCCCCAGGGTTGAAGCCCACAGCCCAGTACTCATGTCTGGACTGAGGGCTGGGTGGAGACCCACAGTCCGGGGGCCGCAACACTGTTGTGTCTGTCCACACTCATCTCTAAGTGTTCATTTCCACGGTCTCAGTCCAGGGAAGACCTCTTGTCCCTTTTGTGACTGGAGTCTGTGTCTTGCTTGTCTATGTTCACCAGTATCTTGGGAAAGGGCTCTTTTGGAACAGGTCTGGGGTGCCTCGGTGTTGGGGAAGGGCTTTGTCTTGAAGGCTGGCTGTGGTCTGGCTCCCTGGGAATGTCTTCCCTGAGTCTGCATGGGGTTTGGGCCTGGGTTCAGTTTACCTGTGTCTTCTGAACCTGTTGTCTGATCCTTAGACCCATCACTCCTGCCCTAAACCCCCAAATTCTGTCTGGAGCAAGTCTCTCAGGAATGGCCTCAGTGGACAGGGCTCTGTATAGGACCCAGGGTGCTAGCTTCGGGAGGTGTCTGCTTGAGGTCCTCAGTCTGTGTCTAAGAGTCTCACTGAGCAGAGGATCCCGAGCTGGATCTGGGAGAGCCACTTCTCTGACTTTGGCTCTGGCCGCCTGGGCTCCCGGCAGCTGAGGCCAAGGCTGGGGTGTGGCTGCCTCCGCGGCAGACAGGCGGGCTGGGCCTGGGTGGGCCGTGGCCCTCCCTCCCTTACACGCCCCCATCCCGAGTTCTCCCGTTCTTTGCACCCCCGCCCCCCCCCCCCCAAGCCCCATCCCAGTGGGTCCCGGCTTCCTTACATGGTCACGGCCGGGCCTCCAACTCCCGGACGTCCCCCCCGCCCCCCGCCCCCACCGGACACAGCCCCCGCCCTGCTCGCCCCGCGCGGTGCGCCCGCGCCCCGCCATGGAGGACCTGGGTGAGTGGGGCTCGAGTCCCCTTTTCCCCAGCTCCTCACCGCCATCTGGACCCGCTTCCCCATGCTGGAAACCCCTCGCACTCCCCGCATCTTCCCATCCCCGCCTCCTGTCTTCTTGATTCTGGTCTCTGCCCGCGCCTCCTTTCCGACTCCACGTCCCCCTTCCTGTCTCTCCCTTCCTGCCTTTTCCTGGACTGGCCGCTCCCTCCCTTCTTCCCTCGCTCAGCTCCTCCATCACTAGCTGCCGACGGATGGGCAGGGAGGTGCAGCGCCCGCCAGTGGGCGCCTCGGCTCAGGGGCGCTGGGAAAGGAGGGGTTAAAGGGGTCTGGGGTCCGGGCACTGGGAAAGTAGACAGGAAGGGAGAATATGACATCAAATTCTGGAGAAGAGAACAGGCCCGTCTCAGGGTTTGGGAAGAAAATAATTAAGGACCCCTAAATATGGTAGGGGTCGGGCCTTTGGGGGGCACAAAGAGAATAGATGAGTGCCAAGACGCCAGGGAGAGGTTAAGGGTCCCACTATGGTACTCAGAGATGAGTAAAGGAGCAGGGACTTCTAGGTTCTGGGAAGGAAAGGGTTTAAAGGATCTAGATATGGGGAAGGGAGGTGGGGGGGGTGTCTTGGTGGAGGAAGGAGGACCCGGGCATCTCCTCCTTCTGGTCTGTTGGAAACGGATGGAAGGCTGTGCTCTCCATGCGAGAGAAGGGGTTCAGGCACCCTGCGATAGGGGGTGCTGCTCAGCAGGGGTAACCGGCTCTGTGGAAAATAAGCCAATCAGAATGCAGGTCCCAGCAGACCTGCCAATGAGGAGAATAGGGTGGGACCCAGTGCCTGGAGATGCGCCAGGGCTGGGCGGGCCTGTTTAGGTCCAGGAGGGGGGCAGGAATTAGTGGGCAGAAAGAGCACCCAGTCAGAAAGTTGGGTGCCAGGCATACAGCCAGTTGAGCAATTTGGGGTGAAGCCAAATTTGGCTTGAGTAAAGAGTCAATTTTGACTGCATTAGGGAAGATGCAGAGAATAAAAGAATCAGGCAGCTTTTGTGCATGACTCCCAAGATGAGCCATTTGGGATGTTTTGGTCATAAATATTCCTTGCTGCCCTTCTCCTTCTCTGCCTTGGTCTGACCTGTGTTTCTGTCTGACTCCTGACCTCTGCTCTTAATACTGGCTTCTGTCCTCCTTAACTACTGCCTACTTGGAACCCTTATCCTCTAACCTCTTAAGGCCCTGTCTCTGCTCTAACCTTAACCTCTCAACTTCTCATCCTGACGGCCTCTTGCCTGCAGATGCCCTGCTCTCCGACCTGGAGACCACCACCTCACACATGCCAAGGTCAGGGGTTCCAAAAGAGCGGTCCCCAGAGCCTCTCACAGGTCCCCTGCCCTATGGCCACCAGCCACAGGTGAGATCAAATACTAGGGACTGGAGCATAACTAGGGCCAAGCTTGGCTAGGGCTAGGGGAATCTGGGCTTGAGAGGGGCAAAGTACAGGCCTATCAACCCACACTTGTGTCCTTCTCTCTGTAGACAGGGTCTGGGGAGTCTTCAGGAGCCTCTGGGGACAAGGACCATCTGTACAGGTGAGGGGCCTGGGAACTGGGGGATGGTGAAGGCAATTGAGACGCAGGTAGGGAGGCTTGGCTTCCCCACCCCTGAACACAGACTCCCACCATGTTTTCCAGTACGGTTTGCAAGCCTCGGTCCCCAAAGCCTGCGGCCCCTGCAGCCCCTCCATTCTCCTCTTCCAGCGGTGTCTTGGGCACAGGGCTCTGTGAGCTAGACCGGTTGCTTCAGGAACTTAATGCTACCCAGTTCAACATCACAGGTACCAGGTTACGGAGACCAGGATGGGGACAGGGCAGGGAAGGGCAGAGACTGAGGGGTATACTCTTCGCAGAGTAGCAGCTAAAGGAACACAAGCCTTAAGTGGGAGAGGGTGGAGTATGGTCCCATGTCCAGTGCCCTTCTTTCCTCTCTGCAGATGAAATAATGTCTCAGTTCCCATCAAGCAAGGAGACTGCAGGGGAACAGAAGGAGGACCAATCTGAGGACAAGAAAAGGCCCAGCCTGTGAGTTTGACATAGTTGGCAGAGCTGGGAGAGACGTGATGGATACCTGAGTTACTGGAGGATAGCATTCAGTACTCTGGGGGGCTCTGAGCTGACACAAATTGTGTTCTTCACAGCCCTCCCAGCCCATCCCCTGTTCTCCCAAAGCCTTCAGCAACCTCAGCCACCCTGGAGTTGGACAGACTGATGGCTTCGCTGTCTGACTTCCGTGTCCAAAACCACGTGAATCAGGTGGGGTGTGGGCCAGTGTAGATTTGTGGCTTCCCAACCCCTTTTAGAACCTTCCACATCTGCTGCCTTGCTGACTCAACTCTCATGTCCTCCTTGCTGCAGCTTCCAGCCTCTGGGCCAACCCAGCCACCAGTGCCAAGCTCTGTGAATGAGGGCTCCCCATCCTCACCAGGGCCGGCTAGCAAGGGCAGCCTCGACACCATGCTGGGGCTGCTGCAGTCCGATCTCAGCCGCCGTGGTGTTCCCACCCAGACCAAGGGTCTCTGCGGCTCCTGCAATAAACCTATTGCTGGGCAAGTAAGTGGAGCGCTGTGAGTAGGGATGGAGAGACCCATGGACCCAGCCTTTCTGACAGCCAGACTTCGTGCTGTTCCCTTTTAATAAATGACGCTGGGAAGTGGGTATTACCATTGTTCATATTTTACAAATGAGGAGACTAAAGCTCTGAGCCACACAGCACATAAGTGGCGGGATGAGACTCCCAACCCAGTTACCATTGATTGCAGTTCTACGGTGTACAGGCACCGTATTAGCTCCTTTACACACCTCCATCTCAGTCTTCACAAAAGTCTTGCTGGTGCCACCTACCATCTCTCAGGCACCAACAAAGACTGTTTCTCCTCCACCAGCATCTGGTTTGCGAGCTCTGGTTCTTGGCTTATTGACTGAGTAGATATTATTGATAACACCTGTGCCCAGTGGTTGACCTAGATCCTCTTGCTATATTTAGTGCCCTGCTTCCATCCCCAAATTTCCAATCTTAGCAAAGCAGGGTGGCATTATGACTCTTGTGGGCCCTAGGCATGTTCATCTTCATGGGCCCCTTCCTCCATTTAAAAAAATTTTTTTTAATTGTGTTTTATGACTGTGTTGGTGTAAAGATGAATATATTAATATTATACATTAAATCGTTTTCTTCTAGTTCATTTTTTTCTTCTGATTTTAAAAGTAATTCCAACATTTTCATGGGCTCCTAAAATTATTGAGGGCCCTAGGCCCTGTGCTGGAAGACCTGGGTTGAAATCTCTGTCACTCACAGACTGACTCGAACATTAGGTTCTTCATCCTGGCCTCTCGGGGTGGGTGCGGAGAAATGAGTGAAGGGACTCAAATGGTAAAAAGAAAAAAGAAAACTTGAAATGTGCCATGTAAATCTTAGCTCACCGGGCACATGGCAACCCGAGGTCCACTCTGACCCAGGCCTTACCCCCAACCCGCAGGTGGTGACCGCGCTGGGCCGCGCTTGGCACCCTGAGCACTTCATTTGCGGTGGCTGTTCCATGGCCCTGGGAGGCAGCAGCTTCTTTGAGAAGGACGGAGCCCCCTTCTGCCCTGAATGCTACTTTGAGCGCTTCTCTCCACGATGCGGCCTCTGCAATCAACCCATCCGACACGTGAGCCCCGCCTTTCCCACAGCCCCCGCCCAGCCATGCCCCGCCCCCTGGCCTCATCCAAGGCCCTTTGGACTCCGCCCACTCTCTCGGACTTCCAAGTCCCTCGTTAGGTCCCCAGCGCCTCAAACTCCTACTTAAACCCGCTTACATAGGTTCATGATGGGAGAGGGAGGGTGGAAGGGATGGAGGGCCACGCTGAGTGTCCCCGTTCATTCTCCGCAGAAGATGGTTACTGCCTTGGGCACCCACTGGCACCCGGAGCATTTCTGCTGCGTCAGTTGTGGGGAGCCCTTCGGAGATGAGGGTGAGAGCTTGGCTCCAGTCCTGAAAGATACCTGTCTGCGCGATATCCCGCCTCGGGCGCTGTGGTCCAGCCTCCTACAACCTCCCAAGTCTTCCGGCCCCACCCTCTCCCACACGCGGGGCCCCTCCTATCCCCTCCCGCTTGGCCCCCACCCTAGACCCGATCCCTCCCTCCCTCTCTACTGCTCATTCTGACTGCCCCTCATCTGGCCCCAGATCTTGCAAGTCTCAGATCTTGCAAGTCCTCGGTGCAGCCAGCAGCTCTTTTTCTTCCCGCTCCGTTCCCGCCCCTAGGTTTCCACGAGCGAGAGGGCCGCCCCTACTGCCGCCGGGACTTCCTGCAGCTGTTCGCCCCGCGCTGCCAGGGCTGCCAAGGCCCCATTCTGGATAACTACATCTCGGCGCTCAGCGCACTCTGGCACCCGGACTGTTTCGTCTGCAGGGTGCGCTGCTGCGGGAGGGGGTGGGGGGTGGGGGGAGGAGGGGAGCTGGGCCAACCCGGAGCCCAACGAGGAGCCTGGGGCGGGGCGATTATTCAGGTATTCGGGGCAGGGGGCTTCACGTCTGGGGCGGGGTTGTGGGCTGCGGGGTTCCCACGTTGGGTTATTAAGCTCCTAAAGCTAGTTATCTGGTGAGGGGGTTGGCGGCTGACCTGTCCTTTCGCGGCCTCCCGCCCCCAGGAATGCTTCGCGCCCTTCTCGGGAGGCAGCTTTTTTGAGCACGAGGGCCGCCCGCTGTGCGAGAACCACTTCCACGCGCGGCGTGGTTCGTTGTGCGCCACGTGTGGCCTCCCCGTGACCGGCCGTTGCGTGTCCGCCCTGGGCCGCCGCTTCCACCCAGACCACTTCACCTGCACCTTCTGCCTGCGCCCACTCACCAAGGGCTCCTTCCAGGAGCGCGCGGGCAAGCCCTACTGCCAGCCCTGCTTCGTCAAGCTCTTCGGCTAATCACCTGCGAGAGCCCAAGGCCCCAGTGACCCCACCCTTCCCCAAAAGACGTGCTCTCCAGACCCCAGGGCCTTGCTCTTTGAGCCTGGGGGTCTCTCCCCAGCCCACCCTGTGAGGCCCCACCCACTGGAGAGACCCGCCCCTGAGGTACTCTACTCTTGAGGTCTCCATGGTCAAATTCAGAAAAGGTCCGGCCAATTTCAAGACCACACGGGTGGGTCGTACACTGTAAAGCAACCCCGCCTGAGGTCTTCACTTTATCCCCACCCTTGAGGGAGGCCCCTGACTGGAGGTGGGCCCTTGCAATTCCGCCTACTCAGAGGACAGGCCAGGACAGACCTGCTCCCCTCTCCCTCACTGTTCTGTGCACTTTTTTTGTACCCACATAAAAACACATGGCACATCATGCTGGTGCGGTGTCTCTGAGTGCTCGGGAAAGCCTTGCGTGGAGATGCCCTGCCTCTTGCGCTGGCTCGGGCTGCAGCGGGTTCTAGGTCACGGCCCTGTGGCCACAGTGGGACCTGCAGCCTCAGCCTTGGCAGGCTGTCCTTCACACGTCACATGAGCCTGCGCTGGATTGTACAGATAGTGGGGACCAGAACAGGAGCTCAGGCTGGGCCCCAGGGAAACTTCCCACCCTCATTCCCCACTTCTTCAGCAACCTGTATCCTTGAAATAAGCACTTAATCTGTCTCCACCCCCACCTCCCACTCCCACTCCCTCCCACCCTTGTCACCTTGTCTCATTTTCACATTTTTCTCCCCTCCTGAAAAGACCCTCAGAGATGGGGCTCCATCCAGAAGTGCCAATCTGTGCCCACTCTTGGATCTGGGCACTAAGGCACAGCTTCCCTCTAACTCGTATTGACTCATAACATCCCCCCTAAGCAGAGGATGACACTTGGGGTGGTCAGAGCAGTGACCAAAGGAAGCACTAGGGGCTGTAAGAGCCAGAAGAAGGCTTTTAACTCAGACTGGGAGTCAAGTAAGTCTTCCTGGAGGAGGAGACACCTGAGCTAAGCCCCAACAGAAATGGGTGGGCCACGGATTTTTAGATGTGGAGTTTAGGCTCCATCTGAATCCCTAAGCCCCAGAGCCTTTCTGAGCCTCTGAACCTTCACTTTGGACCCTGCAGTTCCCTAGGGAGAGGGCTTGGATTCCTGGGCCCAAACTGTAGGAGACTTTGAAGCTGGAAATGATGGATTCTCAGAGGCCCTTCCTGCTTGAGGAGGAGCTGGTAGCCAAGGAGAGCATGTGTGGGTAAGACAAAGGTGAGGTGTTCTCTGTCCTCACCTCGGCCTGACCCCCCAGATTCTTTCCTCTTGGAGGCTCCTCTCCCTAGGTCTTCTCAGGCTTCCTGCTCTTCTCCTTTCACATATTCTCTCTGGAGAATTCTATTTCCTGGCTTATAACCACCTTCCTGTCTTGAGGATGCCCCAGTTGGCCATCTCTAGTCTCGATTCATTCATTGCACCAAGTGTTTATTGAGGATGTACTATGCCAGGCTCTAGGGGAGACCATAGGGAGCCAAGCAGACATGCTTCTTGACCTCGTGGAGCTGAAGTCTAGTAGAGGAGACAGATGACAAATACCAAGTGACACATGTGATGAACTAATGGAGACTTTCCTGATGGCCTAAGTAAAGGTCACTCTTCCTCCTTGTTTCCATCCAAAGCACCTCCCAAGTCCCTCATAGCACTTATCACTATTGCAAACAGGTGTTTATTTGTTGCTTGTTTATGTCTGCTTTTCAAAGTGGAATGCAAGCTCCTGAGAATTTGTCTGTCAGATTACGTGTTTGTTTTGCTGACCATTGTCTCTCCAGTGTCTAGAATGCTATCTAGCCTGCGGTAGGTGCTCAGTGAATGCTTGTTAATGAAGGATGGAATGAAGAAGAAAGGAAAGGAGGGAAGGGGAAAAGGGGCAAAAAACAGAGAACTAAGTTAGAGAAAGTGAGGAAGGGATTTTTTTTTTTTTTAAGATTTTGTTTATTTATTTGACAGAGAGAGAGACAGCGAGAGAGGGAACACAAGCAGGGGGAGCGGGAGAGGGAGAAGCAGGCTTCCCGCAGAGCAGGGAGCCCGATGCGGGACTCGATCCCAGGACCCCGGGATCATGACCTGAGCCGAAGGCAGACGCTTAACGACTGAGCCACCCAGGTGCCACCAGGAAGGGATTACTTTTAACCAGATAGTCAGTCTCTGTGAATATGTAACGTCTAAGTTGAGACTCGGAAGGTTGAGGAAAGAAAACAGCCAGGCAAAGAGCCTGAGGAGAGCATTGTGGGCAGAGGAAACAGCAAGTGCAAAGGCCAGGATGTAGGAAGGAGCTTGGCATATTGAACGAAAGGAAAGAAGGCTAGTAGGGCTGGATTAGGGTGAGTAAAGGGGAGAGTAGTAGGAGATGAGGTCAAAGAGGAAATACGTGCCACGTCATGAAGGGCATTGCAGGTCACAAAGAGGGCATATAGATTTTAAGGGCCTATAACCCCCTTGTATCCTCTTGACATTTGGACCTGGATTTCTCTCAGGCACTTCAAATTTATCACCCCCTGAAGCAGAAGCTGTGGATGTGCTGCCCATACCCACTCGGCCCACCTGGGAAGTCCTATGTAGACAGTTAGTTCCCAGACACCTGGTCTCCCCAGCTGCTCCCCGAGTTTCTGTGTGAGGGTACTCTCGGGGGGAACAAGTGTGCTTCTGCCCCCAGCAGGTCTGAAGCGGGAGGGCGAGGTTCTGTGACCTTAGAGACAGGAACTGGTGAATGAATCCTCCAGCTTCCTGGCTCTGAGGGGTCAATTCTGAGGTGTGTTCCCCCAGTGTCTCAAAGAGGCCCCGCTGGGATTGTTCATAGTGGCAACCTTTTAATCAACATGCCCCTTATTGGCTTTTCTTCTTTCTTTGTCTCACTTCCTTCCCGGGGTCACCTCCTCAGGAAAGTCCTTGCACCCAATTCTCATCTTCGGGTCTGCTTTGAAGGGACCCAAACTAAGACATTCCTTAATTATATTCCCCTAAAATATTGTTTTCTGTTTTCATCTCAGGCATGAACCCAACTTGTCATAATCAGACATCCAAGTCTGGTCAATTCTTCTAGAAAGGCAGAGGTACTGATACTTATCAATACCCTCCCTTCTTCGGTTCAGCCCTGTGCTAAGCAATGGGACTCCAGGGATGAATCAGGCCACTTCCTGCTTGTGGGTAATCTCTAGTCTGTTGGGAAGGCAGACCTGGACCCAGTTGAGGACAACACAATGTGCTCATAACTGTATCCGAAAAGTCAGAGAAGCCTTTCCTGGAGAGTTGACATGGGCTGGGTACTGAAGGTTACCTCTGAGAGGTATGAGTGGGCCATCTGGGAGGCAGAGAGGCACTCTAAGCAGAATGCACAGCTTAGGCAAAAGTTTGGGTGTGTGAGAATACAGGGGCTGGGCCGGGCAAGGGAGTTGGAGGGAAATGTGGTATCACCCCCGGTTTGGTGTGGAGGAGCAAGGGGAAGGGTGGGCAAGAGTCAGGGGATGACAGGCCTTGAACATGAGGCTGAAGAGCTCCTACTTCCTTTAGTCTGATGGGAAGCTAGGAGGGGTTTCTGAGCAGGGGAGTGACACTGTCAGATTTGGGTTTGCAAATGATTCCTCTGGATTAGTCAAAACCAGGAGGCTGGCTCAGCCATGCTCCCTAGGTCAAGGCTGAAGGGTAAGCATGGGTGAAAGGAGTAATTTTGAGCCCAGGTCACTGGGGAAGGGGTGGGGGCTAAGGCCCAGGAAGGAGTGCTCCTGAACTTGAAAGTGTCTGCTCCACAGGACGAGTTTTCGGCCTTGATGAGACCTGATTCAGCTAAACAAAGCTGGGGAGGGGGGACAAGACCTATGGGACTTGTCGGCTCACTGCCCCTGAGGTAACCATTAATCCCTCCCTTGAGGAAATCCACGGGCTGGTCCCTTGAGGGACAGATCCTAGGCAGAATGGAGGAACACACAGAGGCAGGCTCCGTACCGGGACTGGGAAACCAGAGGGTTTTAATTAACAACTCTGCTGACATCCTGGTCATTGCTGCTTATTTCCTGCTGGTCATTGGTGTCGGCTTGTGGGTGAGAAGTTGGGGTGCTGCTGGGGGCCAGGCTTCTGGGGCTTGGGGGGCAAGTCTCAGGGAGACCCCATGTTCAGTAGGGGTGGGATGCCTGGATCTTTGAGGAAGAAACCTGGGGCTGGGGGGCAAGCGAGTCTTTTGATAGCCTCAGGAAGGCCCAGCCAATACTCATTCCTTGTCTTCCCACCTTTGGACTGGGTTAGTTGAAGGGATCCGTGGATTTTCATCAGGGACAGCATTCTAAATGAGGTCTCTGTTCCCCTGTCCACACGGTATCTGACCAGAAGCCCGTCCTTACCCAAGGCCCCAGGAAAAGTCAGGCAATCCAGCCACACTCAAGCTTAGGTAGCTGGGCACTAGGTTAGGGCCTGGGTTGCTCTAGATGCCTCAGGGGAGGTTGGGGCAGGGGGTTGGGTGGGAACCATCAAGAGAGCCGAGGACTGGTTAATCTTCAGCCAGAAACAAGGCTGAGGAATGTGTCAAGAAGGCTAATTAGGTCCAAAGATGTGCTCGGAACCCACGTCTCCCTCCTCCCCCACTCCTGTCCCTCAGTCCATGTGCAGAACCAACAGAGGCACTGTCGGCGGCTACTTCCTGGCAGGACGAAGCATGGTGTGGTGGCCGGTGAGAGAGGCTGTGCGGTGGAGGCGGGGAGGCCGAAAGAAGCAGCCTAGCTCACCGCCCCTCTGGCCATCTAGGTCGGGGCCTCCCTCTTTGCCAGCAACATCGGCAGTGGCCACTTCGTGGGCCTGGCAGGGACTGGTGCTGCAAGCGGCTTGGCTGTGGCTGGATTTGAGTGGAATGTGAGACCTCCTTTTTGCTGACACCCCCCCCCCGGTGGGAACCCCTAGAACTGTCACACCTGGGGAGGCTCCAAGCGGGGTGGGGGGATGTAAGACTGGAGGTGGGGGGATGTAAGACTGGAGGTGGGACTTTCCAAGTGGTGGGGTGTGGCTGGGCTTCGAGTGAGGGTCACACATCCAGCTTGCAGGCAGGGGGATGTTGGGGATGACGACTTTCAGGGCCTGCTCCTGACTCGCTGTGTAAGCCTGGACCAGCCACTACCCTCTGTGGCCTTCATTTACTCCTCTCTGAAGTGGGGTGAACAGCCTCAAAGATAGTGAAGTGCTTGTTCTAATGCTCTCTGAAGCTGTGGCCTGTGAAGATCCCTGGACCAAATTAAAGTCCCTTGCAGAAGTGGGAAGGAGGCAAAGCTCTGGGACTGAGGCTTGTCTTTGAGGGTTGGGGAGCTCAGGGCTTCCTGGAGGAGGAGGTCTCTGTGCTGAGTCTTGAGGGACAGAAGGGTTGGTTGGGTGGAGAGGAGAGGGGAGGCAGCCCTTCCTGGCAGAGGCTGTGGTCAGGCTGAGGGGTCTGTGGTTGGATTCATGTGCTGGGGGGTGAAGGGATAGGGACCATCTTGGGAGGGACTGGCCAGGGGTCTTGGCCTGAGAGGACTAGGAGGGCTCTAGTTAAGGGCCCAAGGAGGTGTCAAGACCCTGTCCCTTAATATCCCAGGCCCAGGGACATCCTCTGCAGTTGCATCCTCTGGGTCCCCAGTGAGATCTTTCCTTGGTATAGCACTTTCAGGAAGAGGTCTCTTACACCTTCAGGGGCGAGGGCTCACTCCTAGCCGGATCTCTCAGTCATCCTCAGCCGTCAGCTGTGCCCACAGGCGCTGTTCGTGGTGCTGTTACTGGGCTGGGTCTTCGCACCAGTGTACCTGACCGCGGGCGTCATTACCATGCCGCAGTACCTGCGCAAGCGCTTCGGAGGCCACCGTATCCGCCTCTACCTGTCAGTGCTCTCGCTTTTTCTGTACATCTTCACCAAGATTTCGGTGCGCATTCATGGAGGGCGGGGCGGGGCCCTGGAAGGGAGGGACCATGGAGTGGAGGTCTCTAGAAAACCCTGGAGGGGGCGGGACCAAGGGGAAAGAGCTTGTAAGACCCATGACTGAAGCAGGGTCTGTAAGGAAAAGGTTTTGGGCCGCGGCCACAATGGGTGGGACCTGGGAAGGCCAGACCATCGGAAAATAAGAGAACCTTTGAAGCATGGCCACGTAGGGTCGTGGTCTGGGCATGAGGTAGACCTGGGTCCCTGTCCGGGTCCCTGGGTCGTGACCCGTGCTATCGCTCCTTCCCCCAAGGTGGACATGTTCTCCGGGGCAGTATTCATTCAACAGGCTCTGGGCTGGAACATCTATGCCTCTGTCATCGCCCTCCTGGGCATCACCATGATCTACACTGTGACAGGTGGCTGTGGCAGGGGCTTAGGGATGGAGTGGTCTCGAGAGATGTGCTGGGTGGGAGTGTCACTGAAGCACATTCTGCTAAGCCCTGCCTCCTGATGCCCGGGTACATGATCCTGGAGAATGGGCCATTTCTTTGAAATCTGCTCTCCAGGAAGGGGCCCATTTGTCAAATGCGCACAAAGACACCGTATGTACTCGTGGCATCCTGTTTGGGCTGTCTCCACTGACCCAGGCCCGTTGCAGGAGGGCTGGCGGCGCTGATGTACACAGATACCGTGCAGACCTTCGTCATTCTTGGGGGGGCCTTCATCCTCATGGGTTACGGTATGGAGCTCAGCCAGTGGGGGAGGGGCACAGAGGATGCGAGTCACAGAGCTCTCAACCTGGGAGCAGAGACATGGCGCGTCTCCAGCACGTGGGTCCTAGGGAGGGCCTTGCCGGGTCCCCTGACAGCCTTGCCTTCACAGCCTTCCACGAGGTGGGCGGGTACTCGGGGCTTTTCGACAAATACTTGGGGGCAATGACGTCGCTGACGGTTTCCGAGGATCCGGCGGTGGGCAACATCTCCAGTTCCTGCTATCGACCCCGTCCGGACTCCTACCATCTGCTCCGGGACCCTGTGACGGGGGACCTGCCGTGGCCGGCGCTGCTCCTGGGTCTTACCATCGTGTCGGGCTGGTACTGGTGCAGCGACCAGGTGCGGGGTCAGGCCTTGGGCCGGGAGGGAGGCCGGGGCAGAACCAGAACCGCTGTGGGAGGAGCTGAGATGGGTGGCACCGGAACCCATATGGGGGCGCTCAAAGGCCGGGTCTGAGCGGTCAGGAACCCGGCCAGGACGGAGCTAAACCAGACCCGGCGGAATCCAAAGACTCTGGGTCTGAATGAAGGTGAACTGGCAGCACCGCTGAGCCAGAGGCAGGCCTGATTTAGCGCAGCGGAGTAGAGGCAAGGCCTGAGAGGGCGAGGTATCCAGGATTGGACGCGGGTAGTTGAAGAGCCCCCGCCGCAGGTCATCGTGCAGCGCTGTCTGGCCGGGAAGAGCCTGACCCACATCAAGGCGGGCTGCATACTGTGTGGCTACTTGAAGCTGATGCCCATGTTCCTCATGGTCATGCCAGGCATGATCAGCCGCATTCTTTATCCGGGTAACGTCTGCAAGCCCCGCCCCCCCCGAGAGTCCCGTGCCCCATCCAGCCCCTTTCTTGTGTATGGCTACCGGTGCCTATTTCCCATTTCTGTCACTGTCCTTTGCTCTGGAAATCCCGTCACCCAGTCCCACCTCCCAGCAGAGGCCCCGTCTCTCTTCCGCTAGGACTTCCCGTCCCCGCTTCGGGGATCTGAGTTCCCAGACCAGGTCCCGTCCCAGCCACGTCGTGCCTCTTTCCCGCAGACGAGGTGGCGTGCGTGGCGCCCGAGGTGTGTAAGCGCGTGTGCGGTACCGAGGTGGGCTGCTCCAACATCGCCTACCCGCGCCTTGTTGTGAAGCTCATGCCCAACGGTAAGGGCTGGCCGGCTGCGGAGACTGCCCCTGGGAGGAGTCGCCCCTCACCAAGTCCGCACCCTCCCGGGGATGCGCTGGGGCCCGGGACTCACAGCTCGCACCGGCCTGCAGGTCTGCGCGGACTCATGCTGGCCGTCATGCTGGCCGCGCTCATGTCCTCGCTGGCTTCCATCTTTAACAGCAGCAGCACGCTTTTCACCATGGACATCTACACGCGCCTGCGGCCCCGCGCAGGCGACCGCGAGCTGCTGCTAGTAGGACGGTGCGGCCTGGGTTTCCCCCCACGCCCTGCCCCACCAATCAGCCCCGGGGGGCGGGGGGGCAGGGAACACTCGTGGGATTAGGGGCAGACGGGGAGTCCTGGGTGAAATCTCCAGATGGTCACCCGCTGCAGGCTCTGGGTGGTGTTCATCGTGGCGGTCTCCGTGGCCTGGCTGCCCGTGGTGCAGGCAGCGCAGGGCGGGCAGCTCTTCGACTACATGCAGGCCGTCTCCAGCTACCTGGCGCCCCCTGTGTCTGCCATCTTCGTGCTGGCGCTCTTCGTGCCCCGCGTCAACGAGAAGGTGAGTCTGTGCGTGGGTGGTGAGCTTGGGGCAGAACCTGGACATCCCGAAGACGCTGACACTCTCTCCCCTCGCAGGGTGCCTTCTGGGGACTGATTGGGGGCCTGCTTATGGGTCTGGCACGACTTGTTCCTGAGTTCTCCTTTGGCTCGGGCAGCTGCGTGCAACCCTCGGCGTGCCCAGCACTCCTCTGCGGCATGCACTACCTCTACTTCGCCATCGTGCTCTTCATCTGCTCCGGCCTCCTCACCCTCGTCGTCTCACTGTGCACAGCACCCATCCCACGCAAGCACGTAAGTGCCGGCCGCTGCATGGGCGCCAAATGTGCACCATGTGAGTCTGTGCAGCCCTCTGTCCCCCTAGCCTGCCAATCCACTTCCAGGAATGCCCGGGGCGGAGGACCTGGATTTCTGTGCTGGGGGTTCATGAGGGTAGACTGGCAATCCAGTTGGAAGCTGCATTCGCAAAGCAAGCACAATGTTTTATTTAAATGACATTTATTTGAGGTATTCTGGGGGGGGGCGGGGAGGTGGCTTGAAGACTGTGGGGGAGGTGATGAAAGCCCCCCAAAGTCCTTGGAATGGCCCCTGGGACTCAGACCACAGATCTGATTGGTGGCTGAGAGGGACAGAGTACTATCCTGAAGGCCCACAGAAGGGTTTGGTCTTGTACTGCTGCAGGGTAGGTGCCCCAGAGCAGGGCTGATTGGGGCCAGGACAGAGGAGCTGGGCAGGATGGGCGGGGCTGCACAGGTGGAGGAGCGGGGAAAGGTAGCAGGAGGAAACTCTGTGAACAAATATCCACAGGAAGGAACACTGTTAGCAGGACGAGAAGACTAGTGTCTAAAGGACTATAATTTGAGTGTAGACAGGGACTTGGGGTAATGAAGCAGGGGCTGACTGGGGCCAAGAGCTTTAAAGACACAGTTGAAGAACTTAGGTTCAGTCTGAGGGCAAAGGGCAGCCATGGAAGGTCGGGTTTGAGTGAACGGAGTCTGAACTGTGTGTACAGGGTGGACAGAGGGAGATGAGGGAGTACCAGGAGGACAAGAGACTTGAGGGTCCCGGGTGGGGGAGCAGCACTCTCACTTGGTCCCTGCCCCCTTCCCCAGCTCCACCGCCTGGTTTTCAGTCTGCGGCACAGCAAGGAGGAGCGAGAGGACCTGGATGCTGATGAGCCAGAAGGTCCCGCCTCCCCCCCTATCCAGAATGGGTGTCCAGAGCATGCAGTGGACATGGAGGGTAAGGCGCTACTTCAGGAGGTGGGGCTAGGGACTAGGGGAGCCAAGGTCCCCTGAAACTAACTGTACAGTGTCAATTTTTCCTAGAGCCCCAGTCCCCAGCTCCAGGCCTGGTCCGCAGGTGCCTGCTCTGGTTCTGTGGAATGAGCGGGGCTGGGGCCGGTAGCCCCGCTGCCCCTACCCAGGAGGAGGTGGCTGCCGCAGCCAGGCGGCTGGAGGACATCAGCGAGGACTCGAGCTGGGCCCGTGTGGTCAACTTCAATGCCCTGCTAATGATGGCTGTGGCCACATTCCTCTGGGGCTTTTATGCCTGAGGCCAACCCTGTTGGACACCATGAGCCACAGCCAGGACAGGGCTCAGTCTCACAATGAATGGGCGTGAGGAGCCTGCAGTGGTGAGAAGGGAGAACGACAGGAGCAGGAGTGGGGGGGTAGGCCCTGGTTCCCCTTCTCTCCACCTTGTCTCTGTCTGGGGCCCCTGTCCATCCAACTGGTGGTTACAGCCCATGAGGCCTTGGCCAAACTGCCACAGCAATTCCCCTAAACGAAAATAAAGCCACTGTTCCCACATCCTGCTGTGGCCAAAGTGTGCCTGCTCCAGGCTCCTATCCTGGGACCTGGGCCTCTATCTGGGCTGCTCACAAGATCTTCTTTTCCGGAGAGAGAAGCCACGTGGCCCTCCACTCATCCACCTCTAGCTGGTGCTTCTCAGTCTTCCAGCCTGCATCCTGCAGTCCTGGGGAGAGGTCATAATAAGGGTGCCGCTGGGACTGCTGGGAGGAAGGCTCTAGGGAGTCTGGGGAGAGTGGTAAGGAGCAGCACGGGCCAGGTGCATGCTCTGTGTACTGCCCAGCCTCCTCTTGCCTCTGCTGGGTCGTTTCTGGCACAAAATGAGGCTAAAACCTCATGGGGCTGTAGCGAGAATTCACTGAGTTAGCACATGGAAAAGCGCCGGAATGGACTAGGTGCTAAATGAAAGGTCATCATTAGTCATTTGTGAGCCGCCCACCCCCCTCCCCGCCCCCAGTTCTTCAGTGCCAACTGGGATTATACAGATTGTCAATACTGACAGTATCCCTACCCTCCCCATACCGCAGACAGGGAAACAGACTAGGCAGGGTCTCTGGGGACAAGGCCCCAGAGGCCAAAGAGCCGTGGAGCTTAAGGATGTTACCTTTCAAGAACTTTGGGAAGAGCCTGTCCAACACTCGGTGTGTCTCCCTGACGATGACCCAGCGCTCTTTCTCAGGGCCTGGAGGTGGGTGCAGAACCAGAAGCTGTTAGGTCCCCAAGTGGAACACAGTCCTTCTTCTCTCGACCCCTCTTCGAGCCATCAGCAGTCTAGACTGCGAGGTGCTTACCTGCCCGTACTAGGTTCCTCAGTTCCTCCAGTTCTCTTGGGAGGGGCCCATCTCCCTGCAGGGCTTCAAGCACCAGTCCGTGTATGGCAGCCCTTAGGATGGTTTCAGGGTCCGCCATCTGGCTCAAAACGACTTGCACCTGCTCTGGAGAAACCCAGCGACAGGCTGGTACTAGGGAAGGGCCACCTCCCTAAACACCCTCAAACCGACCTGCTTCATCCCTGTCTGCCCTGAGGCCTCCGCCTGGCATGGATGGAGGCTATCTTTCACCACTCCCCTCCCATCTTCATCTCCTGTTGTCCCAATGTTCTGGCCAAACTGAAATGCCCAATTTCCAAATATTACTTTATAGGAGCCCACTGAGGTGGGTTTACTTTGCATGTCTAGTAAGAATAAGCACCTTTTAGCACACACCCAGCAGACCGGTAAACTCTAGTACTCGTTTCCTTAACCGGTGACTCTGGATGGGAGAGAAAAGTTCTCCCGGGGTAACCAAAGGTCATAATCTTATTTGAGTACGTTGCAATACATAAATTGCTTTACATAATCGCCTTCTCTGATTCTTATAAAAACACACAGACAATAAGGCAGGTATTGTCAGCCTCATTTTACACAGGGCCAATGTGAATTTCATTGGGGCATGCAGCTATAATTTGAATGCACCAGGTCTTAGTCTAGAGCTCCCTTCAGGACACCAGGCAGCCTCTAAATTGCCCAGGCTTGAGGCCTTGGAGCTGGTGGAATGAGAAGTTGGCCCCAGAAGGGTGAATCTAAGGCTGGAAGAGCACGGCACGCTTACTTTGCGACTGGTCCCAGCGAAGGAGGTAGGGTTGTTGGTGTCCCTCAACCAGCTGTTGCAGCTCAAAGACACTGAAGGAAAGAAGAGAGTGGAGTGGGGGAGGAGAAAGCAAAAGCAGGAGTAACCATTCGCTCAGCTGAACTGCCCTTACTTCATCTGTCCTTCACCCCCTTCTCATCTCTCTCAGCCATTACCCATGCATGCCACATCCATCCTTCTTTTCTTCCTGCATCTAACAAATGTATCCCTTATATCTCCTCTGCGTCACACCCCTGCTGCCCTCAAGCACCCATGCTGACCCCAAGTCTGGTCCGTGGCAATAAAGAACGTAGAATAGAGAGGTGAGGCCCGTGTGTAATCGGAATAAAGAGCATGTATGGGGGGGGGGGGTGTGTGTGTGGCAGCAGAGGTGGGTAGGAGACACTGGGCCACTTACCTGGAGATCAAGCGGTGTAGGGGGACCCCCAGGGATAGAGACAGAGACGGCCAAAAACCTGTGGGAAGCTGGAGTCAGGATGCCCAGACGGGGAAGAGCCTGGGAGACACAGTACTTGAGACCAAGGGGTTGGGTTACCTGTCCACAGTGGCTCCATCTGATTAGCTGAGGTGGGGCCAAGTACCTCTCCCCTCTGAAGGAAGTGCTTCAGGACCAGCCGGAGCCGGCCTTCATTCAAGGTCTCTAGGACAAGGGCTCGGACTGCCCGGTAGTTGGCGTAGATGTGAAGGGCGGTGAGGAAGAAGAAACAAGCGAGGCTGAAGCTGGGTGGGAGAGTGGGGTGGTCAACAGGGGCAGAGGCCCGGCTGGGCACCTCCTCCCTGCCCTTGATCCTGTCTTACCTAGGGCAAGCTGACACCAGGGGAAGCATCAAGAGGCTGACCAGGAGCCCTGCCAGGTTTACCAGTGTCTCCTAGAAAATGGCAGAAGGGCTGGGAGTTGGAGAGCTTCCTTCCAGGCCAGGCTGAATATCCTTGAGTGCCTTTCACCACATTCCTCCCTGCCCCAGTTCCTCCCAGGGCTCCCTACACTGATGAGGATGCCTAGTAAGTTTTTAATGAGTGAGCTATCATTTAAGATACCAGCTGCTTCTGTCTAGGTAGATACAATGCCCTTGGAACATGTCTTTGTTTTGCAAGAGTCCTCTGAGCAGCCCTATACTCAGGCAAGCGAATGTCCTCGGAATGGGGAAGTTCTTATATTTGGTGGTTTAAAAAGACTGATCCCCCTCAGCCCCTTGGTATACAAAAACTGGCAGACACATTTGCGAAGGGTTCAAGGAGCCACTCAGGAAGAAAGGCACAAGATCCAAACCTCTTCCCTTGAGAATCAATGTTATCAGAACCCTCTGATGGCCTGAGATGGCCTAACTGGCCAGACACCAGGCCACCTGTCCCCAACTCATCATGAGGGAGGAAGAGTCTGGATTGGTGCCCCTGACTACTGGGGTCCGAGGGAGAGCTGGTCCTGGCACAAAGCGGGCTTGAGGCTGGGAGAGCTCTTCCTACCCAGCTGTCCTGGCAAGGGGGTGGGCTGTGGAAATAAGAGCAATGGGTGTAAATAGGTGGTAAATAGGAGATTAGAGGTCTTGGTTGTGCAGGAGCAGAAAGACCTCCTCTCCCTCAGGTGGGAAGAGTCATTTCCAGCAGCCCCATCAAGTGGCAATAAAGCAACATCAGTAGAAAGCAGGGGCCTGCCGCAGGACTGAGCATATGTCCTGCATTGCCCCTGTGATGTGTCCCTGTTTCTGCAGACTGAGGGAGCCCTGGGGCTTGGAAAACACAGCCTGGGGGTATGGGGAGGGCTGGGGGTTAGAAAGAGAGGAGGTGAGAGGCAGCAGGCATGGAGCTGGGAGATCCTAAAGCACAAGTCCTGGGTTGTACTCATTTCTTCCTTCCTAATAACCTACGGAAGACATAATGGGGAAGAATTAATCCAACCATTTCCTGAGAGAAGGGATGTGTCCAAAGGTACTCAGGGGGACTGAGGCTATGACTTATTTCGTCATCTGTAGAATGGCAACAATGAGTCCCTCCTGTATAAGACCACTGTAAGGATTTAATGAGTTCATATAAATGAAATACTTTTTTAGTATTTAGTAGAAGCTAAAATGTTTTTTAGCTTCTGTTAATATTGTTGAAAGGAGTTAATTTTAAATTTTAAAAAATTTCTATTTAGAAACTGAGCAGAACAATTTAAGAGAAGGATAGAGTGTAGGACTGGACAGAACAGAAGTTTCCAAATTGCTTCAGTGTCCAAACTATGTCACACTTCTGACTAACCTGGGCCTCATTTTCCTCTTCTGTAAAATAGGGATAATAATAATAATAACCCCCCCCAAAAATAATAATAATAATAACCCTCCTGGGGCTGGTGTGAGAGTTAAACACCACAATACACATAAGTACCTAGCACAGGAGCCTGGCAGGATCCAATACCTGTAGAGTTTAGCCTTCGGGGTCCCCACCTTTCAGGATGCCCTGGTCAGGTGAGGGGCTGGGTCAAAAAGGCCTACGAAACTGTCAAGTGGAGACCTCTGGCCAATGACCCCAGCTACCTCACACGCTGAGCACTTTTTGACTTGCCAAGTGCTTTAACATATGGGGCCTCACGTGGTCAGACATCCACCTCCCAGGTTGGGGCTATGGCCCAGAGAGGGCGAAGGCCAGGGCAAGGGCCCACTCTTGGCCACAAAGGCAGTGGGAAGGGGCTGAGATGATCAGCTTGGACTTTTGCCCCTAGAACTCATGCCCTCAACCTGACTACCTATGTGAGTCGGAGCAGGGAGCACAACATTTCTTCCTGTGTGTTGGTCTCCCAACCCTACCCTCAGGAGCACTCAGGTGTGTCTCTCCATACTCCCAAATCATGGCCTGGCCTGCCTCCCTGCTCCGACTCCCCCCAACCCCAATTCCAGCTGCTCACCTGGCTGCTATCCTTGGCTGACACATCAGCCATGTTGTTTCTCCTGGCCTGGTGCATGGTCAGGGCAGCCCGCGTGGCCCCGCCAGCCACGCTCACAATGCACTAGGTAGGGAAAGGGAGAAGGAAGGTCAGAATGGCCACGTGCTGTGGCAACATAGGCACGTCTGTAGCTGAGCCAAATAAATGACTCAAAGCAGTTTGAGAAAACCAGGCATCAGGTGACCAAACAGCAAA